TATTATTTTGAAATTTAGGTTTGGATGTCTTAACTCAAAGGACAACAAAGAATCCTATTACAGGGATGATTTTACTTCCACCGGATTGATAAACATGTGCATTACTTTGTTGTCTGGCAATCATGCTTAAATCTTCTATTAATGCATCGTAAAATTCGGGTGCTTCATTACGATGAAGCATAATCTCTTGTTTCAAATTATTAATAATTGATTGTGCTCTGGTAAAATTGCCTTGTTCAGCAAAATTAGAAGCCTCCAAAATTGCTTTTGAAGTAAGGTGACGGTATTTTTGTTGAATTACTTGAGAATTGATAGGATTGTCAGATGGATCTATTTCTGACGTAGTGTGTAATATCTTTAGAGATGAGGGAGATTCAAGACGGTTTACTCTGGATCCTCTATGAATATCAAAGTAATTGACATCAACATCAATTATTTTAAGTTCAATAGTTTCTGAATCATTATTAGTTTCCGTAGGAAGAATTTTGACCATGAATAATAAATCTTTCTTTTCCCCAGCATACAAGTTATGAATATTAATCTGAGCACTATGCATATTATCACTGATCGTATTATCGTATTTACTAAGTACTTCAGATATTTTAACGTTTTGAATTGTTTCAGGAACTCGTAGATGTACTTTTACATCACAGCATGAAATGCTTACAAGACCACCAAGACAACCTGCAAAACATTGTTTAATTTGTTCGAATTCGTAAATATAAGTGAATGTTCCTTCCGTTTTTACAGAAATAGTATGGAGTTTTCTTGCATCATGATCAGATCCATAACCAAAACTATGAATAGAAATCCTGTATAAAAGAATTATATAATTAATATAATTAATATAATTAATATAATTATATAGCTTTTCTCTTGTTCATGTTGTGTGTCAGCTTAGAATTTATGAATGACTAAACTGGCGCACTACAATCAAATCAATGAAATACTTACTCAGCTTCACGAGCTCTTTCATATAAATATTCATAAGACTGTTCTTTATTATCCATACCATCAGAAAGTAAAATCATCCCTGTAATAGGATTCTTTGTTGTCCTTTGAGTTAAGACATCCAAACCTAAATTTCAAAATAATA